AGGAGGAGGAGGAGGAGGAGGAGGAGGAGGAGGAAGAAGAAGAAAAAGAAGAAGAGGAGGAGGAGACCAAGGAAGAAGCCAAACGAATTCGTAAAAACGTCCACCAATCTCCTGACCATATAGAAGAAGACATGATGAAGGAGGGGGTCGAACGTTTCTGTTGTTTTTGCTGTTGATGTTGTTGTTGATGTTGATGATGTTGAGGATGATGTTGATGTTGTTGATGATGATGATGATGTTGTAGCTGCTGTTGTTCATGAAGTTGTTGGCTACTTTATATTTCTTTTTAACCTGAGTCTGACGTGTAACGGCTACAGAATCTTCACCGATGCACGCACAAGAATCGCTTTGATTCGCACATAGCCCGCGTAGAGGGAAGCTGGATTGTTTGTTGTTATTGTTATTGTTTTATTTTATTCTTGTATTTCAAAACAAATATCTCCGTCAGTCTGATGGACAACAATTGCGTGTGTAACCCTGTCTGTCTGGATCGGCCTTGGTTAACGATTTCCAAAGAGTAAATACTCGCCCCCCCCCAATTTACCCCTTCCCTTTCCAAAACGTTCAGAGGTAGGTGACCCGCATGTAGAGAAGGGCCGTGAACTCAGAGGGGAACATATTATTATTCAGGAAGTGTTTACTTCTAGTACTCTAAAAATAAGTCCGAATAAGAACCGAAAATCAGTGGGGTTGTTATGGAGTAATATACAAACAAAGGAAGGAGGAGAGGTATGGACCATAGATAGATAACATGTTTCATATGAAAGAAGAAGCAGCTCACAGCAGAGCACCCGCCGACCACCCACAGTCAAGGAAGAGTTGTGAAGAGCTTAAGTTGTAACTTCGACAACACGGAAGAGATAAGAGGGGGGGGTGATGGAAGGAGGAGGGATTGTTGTTGTTGTTAAGTGAAGAGAAGCACATCGACACAAAAACTGTCTTTCCGTTTAGCGCGGGGGAAAAGGTAAAGCAGAAAAGCAGAAATTAAAGAGGAAAAGAAAAGATGGAGTAACACCTACCAGTAGCGCCCTCCAACCATCCACTGGAAAAGGGGCGAGGCTGGGGCGGGGAGGAAGAGTGGGGGACAAGGGAGGCAGCTTTGTCCAACTGTAAATATGTCGTGTTGACAGTGTAGGAGTGTCCTGCTTCCTAGCCGTAGTCGCAGCTTGTGGTCTTTATCATTCCCGCTATATTATGTCCTTATACTTGACAGATAACTGCCATATCATAATAGCTTGATTTTATATGAGCCATATTATAATATTTTGATTTGATATGAAGACTACCGGGGGGG